AAAAAAAATAAAAAAAATATAGCTAAAGTAATAGGGTACTCATGAATTGAGAATATCCTCCTGGTACTCTCTCTTACATTCTCATTGGCCCAACAAGGTCTAGTGGACCAATTTCTTCCAACTCCAGAACTCCCTATCGCTCGACATGTGACTTCAGTTTGCTCGGCGTGTACTGACTCCCGTCCACTCGGCATTTCACCGCTTCTCTCCTCTTGATTTCGGTTCCAAAAATCCAAACTCTAGGTCCAAGGCCGCAGTGATGGCGGACTGGTAGCACTCCAGCAAGGCGATGTCGGACCAGCGCAGATTCGGTCTTTGTGGTCGCACGTAGTGTCCACTCTTTGCTCGGCTTGACCTGGGACGGACAGGCAGTTGCCGCGTCGTGCTCCTACGGGCTACCCACGACCAGTGCACGGTTAGGCCAGAACAACGAGCAGCGAGCAAGAACATGTCTATACTCTATAAGGGCAGCCCCAATAACAAAAATAGTAGTTTATATAACATAGGATACCGCACAAAAAAAGTACCGCTTTTCAATCCATGGTTTCTATGAGTAATAATTATTTTTTCTTTCTCTCTCTCAACTCTATCTTCTTCCTCCAATAGGAGTGCGGCACGAGCCCTCTAGAAACTGGTGGTTTCTCTCCAATGGCGATTTCATGGTTTCTTGGTGCATTAGGTCAAGAGAAGACCTGATTTCTTCGTGACGACAGTCCCAATGAAAGAAACCAGTAGTTTCTATAACATAGGATACCGCACAAAAAAAATATTACTTTCCAACCCATGGTTTCTATAAGTAATAATTATTTTCTCTTTCTCTCTCCCAACTCTATCTTCTTCCTCCAATGGGAGTGCGGCACGAGCCCCCTAGAAACTGGTGGTTTCTCCCCAATGGCGATTTTATGGTTTCTTGGTGCATTGGGTCAAGAGAAGACCTGATTTCTTCGTGAGGAAACCATTTCTAGGATTTTTGCTCTTTTTTTCATTAATTACGTTGCCATGTCAGCGTTTTGCCTACGTGGCAAGTCATTTAATGAGGATAGAAACCATCATCAATACACCATTGGGACTGCCCTGAGAAAACCATTTCTAGGATTTTTACTCTATTTCTTCATTAATTACGTTGCCATGTCAGTGTTTTGTTTATGTGGCAAGTTATTTAATAAGGATAGAAACCATCATCAATACACCATTGGGACTGCCCTAATCGATTACAGCACCAAGCAATTAATTGGCTTCCAATTTCGACAAAGCACTAATTATTAGAAGCCAAACCAAAAAAATTATATATTGCCCAAAATATTTACTAATATGGGGTATTATGCATGCTAAATATTAGACTTTATCTAGCCAAAATTTAAAAAAAATGAAAAGCATATTACATTTTGAGGACCCGGTTCTAAAATCCTAGGCCAGCCACTACAAATGTCTATGGACCATCAATTTTGATGAAACGATAAGAATCATCGACCGAGGAGTTGCGAAAAGAGAACAGGCAAACCGGTGGTGTAAAGGAACTAAGGGTGCGTTTGGCACACAGAACCGGTTCCGATTCTTCTGTGAATCAGTAGAAACCGTATCAAACATCATATATACAGGTGAAACATTTCCAGCAGAAACCGTTCCAAGTGATTCTCACTTTTTTGCCTACGAATGTGAATCGCTGAAAACATGGTTTCGCGGTGATTCTGATTCTGTAGCCAAATAGTTTAGCGATTCTGATTCACCATCTAAAACGTTTCTTGATAGAATCTGGATCTGCAATGTTTCTATGAGAATCTAAATCCTTACCAAACATACCATAAAGAAACGCTTAATTCCGAGATTTGAAACGGATGATGGACCACTAGACAAGGTTGTCGATTGTCCTCGTCCCTGAAAATTCTAAATAAAGGAAAAAAGAAAAGTGGCATGTAGTATGAGGTATAATTTTATCACTGATTTTTCGTACCTAGATGCCTCCAGTTACTTTTATTAAATGGCGTTTCGGACAGGAAAATGAAACCATACATCCAAGTCTAATTAGTCACTCTAATATTTACAGTACTTTACCTAGATACCACCTCCAGGTACTCTAATTTTGAATTACACAGTACAATGTAGACGTTCACAATATGCACGTACACTCACTCTATGAACACATGTATATATAACCCTACCCTTATGAGCACCTCCAAATGACTGACTCGAGATTCACAAAGTCACCATAGGCGCTTCGTTGTCGACGGTAACGTCGCCTGCCACTGATAGCATAGCGTCGTTAAATCCTAAAATAAAAAGAGGAAAAAACGAACACCCGTGCTAAGTCGAGAACTTAAACCCGAATGGGTAGGTCCCATCACAAGGAATCCAATCAACTGATCTATGATCTGTTCGCCAGTTACTTTAATTTTGGATGGCCTCTCAGACAGCAAGATGAAACTATGCGAATCGTGGTGCACTCATGTATATTTATTTGACTGGAGAGAGCACTAGATTTCCCGCTACTGGACAGAGAAGTTACTCAAGATTAGTTGGCTAGCCAGGATAGCTCTTAAACATGAACCAAACACACCCATACTGATTGTTTCCTGCTAACTGAATTCGACACGAGTATGATCCTATACTAATTGTTTCCGATCAGAAGAGTTCACATGGATCCAATCAGCAAGCACTAATGCACACATCCGATTGGTGAATCCTGGGAGTGTAGCTGCCAGCTGGTCTGACGCTAACACACACTTGGGAAATCCGACGCGTCGCAGGACGGTTTTTGCATCAAGTAGCGAAAGCTGGAGCTCCACCGGCATGAATCCAGACGACGGAGGTCCGAGGCGAGACATGGCAGCATGGTTATCTTCCATTGGTGGTATTTTTCCATGTTCAGGTGAAGCATGCACGTTGATCGCACAAACGAGAGGATTACGACTGATGCATCACAGATAGATGGAATATGTAAGAAGAAGAAAGTAAAGGGCAGCCAGCAAACAAACAAGAAAAGCCGAGGTGTCGGCATCACAGATATTCCGCCTCCCCTGCGGAACCTACCCGGTGGGCGTCAGAAAGCACTCGCAAGTCGCAACGCCGGGCGGGTGCGGGACGAGGAGTCCAGTCACCGAACCAGCAGCCACCAGCCAGGCAGGCAGCAGTTATCTTGGCGCTGAAGACTCCTCCCTCTCCCAGTCTCCCTGGCTGGCTCCCTCCCGTACACAAAAAACAAAAAGCCCGGCCAAATCTACGCGCAGGCACGGTCAAAGATCGGCGAGAGACCGAGTAAAAGCGGCGGTCCAAGGCGCTCCGCCCCCGTCCGACCCATGTGACGCGACGCCGACGGGATGCGGCGACGGCCACGGCAAGGCGGTGAGATTCCGGTTGGAATGGAACACACTACACAGCGACGCGGACCCCGAGGGTTGCTCGTGCTTTTGCCGGGTGCCGGGGCTAATTCGGCTAAGGGCGCGTTTAGTTCAAAAAAAATTTTGGTTTTTTGTTCGACACATCGAAATTTTAGACGTATACACAGAGCATTAAATATAGATGAAAAAAAACTAATTACATAGTTGGGTGAGAAATCACGAGACGAAACTTTCGAACCTAATTAGTCCATAATTAGACACTAATTGCCAAATACAAACGAAAGTGCTACAATAGCCAAACACAAAATTTTTCGTGAACTAAACGTGCCCTAAGGGTGTGTTTAGTTGGGGAGGTGAAAATTTTTTGGTGTCACATTAGATGTGTCGGAAGGGTGTCGAGAGGGGTTTTTGATACTAATAAAAAAAACAAATTACAGAACCTATCAGAAAACTGCGAGACAAATCTAATAATACTAATTAATCGGTCATTAGCACATGTGGGTTACTGTAGCATTTAAGGTTTTCATGAACTAATTAGACTTAAAATATTCGTCTCACGATTTTACCGAGAACTGTGCAATTAGTTTTTTTTATCAGGAAACTGCGAGACAAATTTAATAATACTAATTAATCGGTCATTAGCACATGTGGGTTACTGTAGCATTTAAGGCTTTCATGGACTAATTAGGCTTAAAAATATTCGTCTCGCGATTTTGCCGAGAACTGTGCAATTAGTTTTTTTTCATCTACATTTAGTACTCCATGCATGTGTCTAAACATGCTCTTTTACTGTAGGAGACAAAAAAAAATTTGAAAACTAAACAAGGTCTAAGGCTGTCTTCGGATACAAGACCCATTCATGTTTTAATAGTGCTACAGGTAAAAGATTCAATATCTATTCAGTATCTTCTCCACTCAAAAGAGAATCATGTCTACAAATAGGTTTCTAGGAGAGAGAATATCCATATTTGAGTTGTGCCTATCAGATAATCAAAATAGATCTCCCATATAAATATTTTTTTATAGACTAATTTTAGATCTCTTTCTGCCTATTTTGAGAGATTTAGATTCCTCGTTGGAGAGAGTATAAGCATCCTGCCATGCCAGAGAGGAAAGCTCACTCTGGCCATTGCCGGCGCCTCGCATGCTTCGAGGCCAAGGAAAATCACCCGCCTGCTCACTATGGTCATTGCCAGACCTTTGACCGCCCGCCCGGCCATGTTCAGCTTCAGCCTCACAATGACGTGACACGGCCGACGAGACTGACCGACCGACCTCCGTTCAGATCACGTTAGGTCATAAAGCCTCTGCTAGCCTAACTAGCAAGAAGACAAATCCCAAAGCAAATATCTACAGGTATGTATAATCTATAAAGGCAAGTTGAAAATAAAACAAAAACAAAATACGAGCGAAATATGCAGAAGCAAATACCGAACCAGAATAATACCGTATTAGTATTACTTAACGATTGCCACGATAACATTGTTCACCAACCGACCGACCAACCATCACGAGGTCCAAAAATTAATTAACCACCACAAAGTTCCAACCAACCACGGATAATAATAAAGCTACTAGTAACGTGGACACACCACGACGACGATAACTCGCGCGGCAGCCGAGGGGCTGCAGCACACAGGCACGAAGACGACCGACACGAACCGCTTAGTCGACCTCCTCGATCTTGGGGCCAGGGCCGCCACTGCCGGCGGGGGCGTCCTCGTCCATGCCGGCGGCGCCGCCCATGTCGGCCCCCGCGCCCTGGTACATCTTGGCGATGATGGGGTTGCACAGCGACTCCAGCTCCTTCATCTTGTCCTCGAACTCGTCCGCCTCGGCCAGCTGGTTGGCGTCCAGCCAGACGATGGCCGCGTCGATCGCATCCTCGATCTTCTTCTTGTCGTCGCCCTCCAGCTTGGAAGCGATCTTCTCGTCCTTGATCGTGTTGCGCATGTTGTACGCGTAGTTCTCCAGAGAGTTCTTGGACTCCACCTTCTTCTTGTGCTCCTCGTCCTCCGACTTGTACTTCTCCGCGTCCTGCACCATCTTCTCGATCTCCTCCTTGGACAGACGGCCCTTGTCGTTGGTGATGGTGATCTTGTTCTTCTGCCCCGTCGTCTTGTCCTCAGCGGACACGTTCAGGATGCCGTTGGCGTCGATGTCGAAGCACACCGTGATCTGGGGGACACCACGGGGGGCAGGGGGGATGCCGGACAGCTCGAACTTGCCCAGCAGGTTGTTGTCGCGGGTCCTGGTCCTCTCACCCTCGTACACCTGGATCAGGACACCAGGCTGGTTGTCTGAGTAGGTGGAGAACACCTGCTCCTTCTTGGTGGGGATGGTGGTGTTCCTCGGGATCAGCACAGTCATCACACCTCCGGCAGTCTCCAGACCAAGGGAGAGAGGGTGACATCCAGCAGAAGCAGGTCCTGCACCTTCTCGTTGCCCTCACCGCTCAGGATAGCGGCCTGGACAGCAGCACCGTAGGCAACGGCCTCATCAGGGTTGATGTTCTTGCACAGCTCCTTGCCATTGAAGAAGTCCTGGAGCAGCTGCTGCACCCTGGGGATACGGGTGGAACCACCAACAAGGACAACATCGTGCACGCTGCTCTTGTCCATCTTGGCATCCCTCAGGCACTTCTCCACAGGCTCCATGCACTTCCTGAACAGGTCCATGTTGAGCTCCTCAAACCTGGCACGGGTGATGGTGGAGTAGAAGTCGATGCCCTCATACAGGGAGTCGATCTCAATGGTGGTCTGAGCAGTGGAAGACAGAGTCCTCTTCGCCCTCTCACAAGCAGTCCTCAGCCTCCTAAGAGCCCTCGGGTTGCCAGTGATATCCTTCTTGTTCTTCCTCTTGAACTCCTGGACGAAGTGGTTGACCATCCTGTTGTCAAAGTCCTCACCTCCAAGATGGGTGTCACCAGCTGTGGCCTTGACCTCAAAGATGCCTTCCTCAATGGTGAGGAGGGATACATCGAAGGTACCACCTCCAAGGTCAAAGATGAGGACGTTCTTCTCGCCAACGCTGGTAGCCTTCTTGTCAAGACCATAGGCGATTGCAGCAGCAGTTGGCTCATTGATGATACGCAGCACATTGAGGCCAGCAATCACCCCAGCATCCTTTGTGGCCTGCCTCTGTGAGTCGTTGAAGTAGGCAGGGACTGTGACAACAGCATTCTTGATCGTGCTGCCAAGGTAAGCTTCAGCAATCTCACGCATCTTGATGAGAACCATAGAGGAGATCTCCTCAGCTGCAAACTGCTTCTCCTCACCCTTGTGCTGGACAACAATCATTGGCTTCTCACCAGGCCCAGAAATGACCTTGAAGGGCCAGAGCTTCATATCGCCCTGGACAGAAGCATCAGAGAACCTCCTGCCGATGAGACGCTTGGCATCTGCATACAAAAGCAATCATGTCAGATATGCATTCCAATAGTACCATACAATTCGAAATGTAACAGAAATCAACCTTTTGTTAATAAACAAAACTTTGATCAATCAAGTGAAATCAGGCTACCTTAATAACTAATAAAAATTCACATCAGTTCAGTCAAGATGCCACTAAGCATGGTCAATCAAGTTTACTCCAATAATAATAATCAGACTGTATTCAGAAAACAAATTACACCTAGCTGGCTAGCTAGCTAAGAAAAAACAAACATCAGTTTTTTCAGTCATGATCATTAGCACAATCAGAACATGTAAACGGGCATATAGTAACTGGAAGCTCATAAATGAGCAACCAGTGTCGCAAGTTCCGTTCCCCCTTGTTTTCTGCCATGTTTCGAGACACACAATCACAAAAAAATGACTGCGAGTCAGATACCAAATGGCATTGACTGCAACAAATTACACTAGAAAACACTCTGAATGCAATAAAAACCTAAATTTGCGGTGCAATCTCAGCCGAAAGATGGTGATTTTTTTTGTAACAATCACAATGATTCAGGAATTGGGAATTCTTGCATCACGGATTGCACATAAAAAATAGACAACAAATAACTATTTAGACTTTAGAGAACTACTGATGACTTACAAGATACTATGAAACTGGTAAAAGTTTACATTAAAAATGAAATGTTAAATAGAGATCAGATGGTAGTGCATGATGTGATCATCATAATGAATGCAGGTAAATCCTATGTTATGATATCACTTCTCCCATTAAAATTGAACTACCACGCAAAGGTTCCAACTCTGGCAAACCTCATCCACAGACATGATCAAAATATCAGAGCAACAAATAGCAGTACAACATTTTGAAAAGCTTAAACAATCAAAATGATGCTTGATGTGCAGAAGTGCCAACTACCAACCATAAAAGCTGAAGTACAATATAAAGTAGGGAGCCAATATTTTCTAGTAAAAGTAATAGACTGAAGCATGAGAGATCAGATGGTGATGCATGATGTTGTCATCATAAAGAATGCAGATATCTCGTGTGGATACAATCTCATCACTTCTCCCATTACTTAAACCAAAAGGAAACTAAACGACAGATCCAAATGCCATCTTCCAGTCAAGGTTTCCATCTTGACATGACTGGAAGAAAAAAAAATTGAACAAAATCGAAGAAAAAAACTGAACTCTTCATCTGCAGTTTCAGATTGAAAACCACAAAAGCTATTGTAACATAGCTTTCCATCACTGGTATCAGTGGAATAAAGCGCTTGGGGTAATTGTTTCCTAATCAATCTGACAGCTCAAAAGTTAACAAATAGTACTCCAGAACCATCCAATCATAATTTTAGCACTGAGTAGGTACTAAAAACTAACAGATCTAACGCTAACAATACAACAGACCAAAAACAGATTGCATGGATCTACAAAAGACACGTGTATAAAACTCCATGTCAAGTAATATAACAATACGCAGTCGGGCTGTCAGGCTACTCAGTCTTACAAACTAGCTGGTCTCGGTCCCAAGACCAGATCAGACAAAAAGTGACAGATCTGTGAGCCCAGCAAGAGTAAAAATAACTATGCAGCTACTACTACTGGCCACAATCGCTTTCAGATCCGACCGATCTAAACAAAACAGCTAGTGGATCGGATCTGAGCAACTTTTTTACGACATGAAGTTATACACAAAGCAATCACGCACTAAAGTAGATCCAGCTAAGCTGCAGTACATCAGTCAGACCAAACCACTAATCACGGTAAACAAAACGGATCTGAGCCGGGACAGAAGTAAGTAAAGCAGAGAACGCGGGTGTGCTCACCAAAGACGGTGTTGATGGGGTTCATGGCGACCTGGTTCTTGGCCGCATCTCCGATGAGGCGCTCGGAGTCGGTGAAGGCGACATACGAGGGCGTGGTGCGGTTACCCTGGTCGTTGGCGATGATCTCGACACGGTCGTGCTGCCACACGCCGACGCAGGAGTAGGTCGTGCCGAGGTCGATGCCGATCGCCGGCCCGTCACCCTTGCCGGCCATATCTTCTCGCTCTCAGCGGTCTCGCGGAGGACGGGAGGGGATTGGCGGCGGCTGTGGGGAGGGAGCAGGGGGACTAGGGTTTCGAGAGGGAGAGGGACGGACGCGGGGAGGTGACGTTTTATAGGGGCCAAAGGGCGCGTCAGCGCGTGAGCTGTGGAGTTCTAGAATGTTCCTGGGCGCGTCGTGGGAAGATCCGAGCCGTTGAGATGCGATCGTGCGGCCGAGCGCGCGTGGTGGAGTCCTTTCCGCGGGTGCCTTTCGGCTTATAGCTGGTTCAAACGGCTCTTTTTTCCTTTCTGGGTTGCTTTCACGTGAGTAAAAGCAATCTTTGACGGCGGGATGGGCTGTGTCAGATCTCAGCCCAAGTCACATACCATAAGTCCGGCTTGGAGGCCCGCTTAGAACCAGCCCACTGAGGTAGACTTCCCTAATAAAGTCTCCAACAAACAGAGCTCTAGGAAAAGATGCAATTGATAGCAAAAAAAAAAAGTTTGATATTTACAAAAAAAATCAGCGAGATCTTGAGCAACAAAAAAAGTTTGACGATCTTTCATAAAAGTTTGATGATATCTTTAAAATAAATGTTCCAATTCAGTCAAAATAACATGTTTTGAACGAAGAAAGAAAAGCTGTAGGCCACAACATATTGTTCCAATCAACTATTTTTTTCAAATCCCAGTAGTCGTTTCAAAATATGTAAAGCTCCAATCAAGTAGCCAAAATTATAGGGATTGAGCTTGAACCCACATGTTGTTCCAACCACAGTGAAGAAAAAGGTGTTCATGTAGTTGATTCGGGCCATGAGTTTACATATTGAACTGGAAGTTGTAGAAACTATTGTCCCAAGCATGAAATTGAGCTTAAATCGCAACCACCAACCTGCCAACGACCTAAGTAAGGGATAGGTCACATATACACAAGCGGCTTTGCTTCCTCAACGAGTTTCCATTGCTCATGAGAGTCGACATCTTCCACACCAGGTTGACAACAAAGTCCAACAACCAAGTCTAGGTTTCCATGACACCAACGAGCCTTTATCTCTTCGAAATTATCGCATTGCCCTCCTAGGACGTGGATGGAAATGTACTTTTCTAGGTTCACCATGATCGCTTCTGCTCTCTTTGCCATTTGTTGGTGCTCGCCGTCCCTTGATGCAAGACATCGCTCTCTTTCTCGCCGTGCTACACTTGACCTAAGGCCTCCTCCCATGCCTAGCTATGACCCGTAGATGGATTCCATAGACAAACTCATGTGTCGCTATCTCCACTGCTCAGGAATGGGAAATGTCTGCTTCTAATGATCCTATGTCTTGGAGGCTTGCCTTCGTCACGAGTACTCCTAGGTCCTAGTTCAACCAAACAGAGTCAGCTCCATTAAGATAAGTGTGCCACTAACTCCTTGTGAGTCCCTTCCAAATATTCACATTCTGAAGCTCTCCTTGTGAGTCCCTTCCAAATATTCACATTCTAAAGCTCAGTCGAAAGAGGAGGGTGAAAAAAAAAAGGTATGACAATCTTGATTATTCATGAAGCGTTGGGGTCCCACCAAGCAATGGATGTCTATGTTACACCGACGGATAAAAAGGTTTTTTTTTAATATGGATTTCTGAGAGTGTAGGTTGTGGTGCCTATGTTTTGTTTTATGAAACTAGTTTTTTAGATTGTGTAGTTTTGAGATAGTTATTTTACCATGGTATTTTTGTAGAATTGGTCTTCTTGAACTGAAAGTTACGTGGTACTCTATAGACTCCTTTTGTAGTTACCTTTTCTATAAAAAAAACATTCAAACAAAAAATAATAATAAATGAGGACCAGCAGTGAAAAGGAAAAAGAGAAAACGATCAATTTGAGCCTACACTTCGTTGCTACGTATATAGTGCTGTTGACTTGTCATGAGACGACGTGCTTCCATGCAATTTCCTTGGTCGACAGGTGTCCCTGTGTCTTTGTCAGATTGGTAAGTGCAGGAAATTTCAAAGAATTCATCATGTCCACATGCACAAACGTAAAGGACTAATGGTGGCCTGGACTACGTTATCACTGCCCAAGCAACGTCTTGGCTTGGACTACTCTCAGTATCGCTGAGGAAGGCGATGACCTACTTCATCTACATATGCACAAGAAGAAGCAAACCCTAGAATGCGATTTGGTACAACAACAGGGTGCCATCATCGCTTTATTATTCAAGCGGCCAAACGCTATGCTCCTTTATTTCTGCCGGAAAGGAGATGGATCATTGGGTGACAAGACAACACGCTGCGCTGCGGAGATTTGAGATGAGAGAGGCTTGCTGATGGTGCGGCTTCTTCAGGTTGGTAGAGTCTGGTGGTCAGCCTAACAAATCCATGTCTTCGCCGTCGCTAACCCAATCTTTGGCTCCTTGCTTGCCGATGTGGCAGCCTAGCAAAGCAGTGAGGATTCCAATCTTGCAGAAATATCGAAATGGTTGCGTCGACAAATTCAGAATAACCACCGTCATAATTGTGAGTACAAGTACTGGAACGGGAGATAAGCACGGAAGTTTTTTTTTTAAGAGTTCAAGGGTGGCCCTGGCCTTTATATTGCAAAGACCAAACCGTTAAGCTCTTTACAACACTCAAAGTTCAAAAACTCCAACAGAAACGCAGAAGGCTCAACAGGCAAACAAATGCCCAGAATAGCAGAACTAACTACTGACATCATTACATCCCCCAAGATTCCGCAAGACTCGCAACGCTAATCCAGTCTCTTTCACGAGCCAACCTTTCCAGATCAACTTCATTTGTCAGCAGAGCTTTAACTTCATCAGCTGTATTGATCTTCCAGCCGTTCCCAGATTGATATAGATGCGACTCCATTCATCATTCACCTGACCAAGCTAGGTAGTCGGTGAGGTCTTGTGGCGAAGCTTTTCAGTTTGTCCAGGTGATCCAGAAATTCTGGGACTTTCTCCTTCGGACACAGAGAAACTCTAATTGTGCAGCATTGCTGTTACATTCACTATCAGCACTCGCACATCTACCCATAGTGTTCCCTGAAAACACAAGCTGTTTCTTAGTTTTCAAAGCCCCCACAGGGCAGCAGCATAAAAAATATTTTTCACTATGAATTTCCTATTACTAATCTACATAGTCCCAACAGAAACAAAATATGTGCCAACTTGTCTATTTAAGATCTCAGAAAGAAATGGCCAAAGCTGTTTAGCTACTACACAATTAAAAAATAAGTGATTGACAGCTTCAGCCTCTGAGCAAAATAAACAAGTAGGATCATTGATTTTCTTCCTGATACTCAAATTATCTCTAGTCAGAACCTTGTTTTTAGATAACAACCACAGAAAGAAATGGACTTTAGGTGGGATCTTCAGTGCTCAAACAACAGGAATAAACACAGGAGAAATACCCCTAAAATTAATGACTTTATATAAGGACTGTGAAGAGTATACACCATGAGAATTAAACTACCATATTAGACGGAAGTACAAGTACTGGAAGGTTACTGCCTCCTTCCACTTGAAATGCTGTGCCATGCATGTGTCTCCCTATCTCTTGCTTGAGAAGTATTGCGGCCAATTTGAGCTGGTTGGGCACGATGTTATCAGAAAACTGCTGCCTACAGGTGGTTTCTACGACAATGAAGCACAAGCTCTGAATTGCAAAAAGACAGATCTGGGTGCCCAAAAAGCTCCATGTATTTCTCGGTTGCTCCAGCGATTTCAGAGCCACCTGATGATGTCGCAGGTGTACCTGATGGAATGTTCTAGTAGCCCTAGCAGGAGGAGGATGGCCAATAAAATTTCAACCAATTTCAAAGTTACTCGTATCGGCCCCGTTCGACTGGTAGAATCTTGACTGAAACTGACTGGTTGTGTAAGAGAAAAATACTGTTTGGCTGAATAGATGAATAGTGCCGCGTGAGGGAAACCAGCCGGTTTCTTCAGTCCAGCGAACAACCCCATCATGGCGGCACAGTATTAAGGACAACTAGAAAAACAGATGCGTGCCTTCTTAATGGAACATGTGTCCGTTGACACGTTCTCGAAAAAGAAAAACAGGTGCGGTGCGGCGATGGAGCAAAGCGGACCAGTTGCTGCTCTTTGACATCGTATTCAGGGATCCAGGTTCTAGATTTCTGTGAAATGGAATTTATGCTAAGGTATTTGTGTTTGGTACTAGAATTACCATGATAATTCAGTTTTTTGGTTTGCTTGATAGCTCTACGTTCGTGTGCTATATACAGAGCAACCATAACAGAGTTATCAAATATTGTTCTTCAGTATTTTGGACTTTTGGTTTGCTTTTCCCTTTTCTCTCGTGGATGACACGACCCGGCGCTGCGACAGGCTGCGCAAACGCAAGGCGCAGGCACACAGCTCGCATACACGCGAACAACAGATGGCGGGGGCGATTGTGCTTAATAATATACTGAAAAAGCATAGTAAGCAATTACATTATGCTAACCACAGATGGCGATTGTATTACCGGTCAGGCTAGCGTCCGCATGCCCGCGCATGCTGCACCTGCCTGCGCCCCGCGTAGGCATGCTGCTGTACGTGTCCGCATGCATGCGCCGGCTTCATGTGGGGCCCGCCACTACTATAGAATATTTATCCGTGTTGGGCGTTTTGGGTTTCCTGCGGTGGGTAAACCAGTCCGCTGCCGCCGAAAGGCCACGGTAAATCGTGTCTTCCCGCGACGGATAGCTTTGCCCGCCGCGGTTAATCGATTTACCGCGGCGGCCACGTAAGAACGCCCGCCGCGGCAAATCGTCCACGAAAAACAAAAAAAAAAGAAAAAAGCCCACACGGGCTTGGATCCGGGCCACACTGAACCTAGATCCCGCCGCCGCCGTCGATTGGATCCGCCGCAGCTCCAACCCGCCGCACCGCCGGAGGGAGAGGAAGGGCCGGGGTGGGCACCACGCCCACCGGATCTGCGCCGCCGTCGATTGGGTGGGAGGGAGACGACGCCCCGCCGTGGATCCGCGATGTCGCGGCGGGTTGGGGCCGCCCCTCCGTGGATC